GTGTTTTGAAAGGGCAATGTGTCATTGCTTGTCAAAACTTAAGTAATTTATTTTTTAATTTTCAGTAAAGTTATGATTAATTACATGTATTAGAGGATAAAAATCCTATTCTGCTGGTTTTTGGCTCCCCTAATGTTTAGGGACCAGAATTGGTCATTAGCATTCAGATAAATCAAGTCTTTTTCATAAAGCAGGTGGCAGTGTGTTGGCAAATTTGTGCAGCCAGTTAAAGCTGTTTCCTGTATGTCAAAACAGGCTTAGAAGCAGTGTGCAGCTGTTCATGTGGCTTTACTCTTGCAAACTGGGATGACTTTAAAGGTGAGCTGCCTTTGCTTTACACAGATCTGCTGTCATGTTTGTAGTTGTAGTTCTCAGAACTTGTAAGATTATTTTTTTTATTTGCATAGACATGCATCGGGGATTCCATTTGCCTTGTACTCACCACATGTTTCTTCTTATTTTGCTCACTTTTAGCTTTGGGTTTCAGTTAAGGAGAAGCATAATATCTTTGCATCCAGTTTGAGAGAGCAGCTGTGTATCCTGCAGCTTACCTAGGCAGGCTTTGATTCCTTCAAGGTAGTGTAAATGTTGTTATTTTAAACCTAACAGTATAGTGCATAAAGAAATTCATCCTGCCTTACTCAGTTTCTTACAACTGGACACCAGATTTGGACAGAGCATTTCAGTTACACCTCAAAGTACAGGTAAAGCCTTTACGTCCATCCAGTTGCTGGCCCCCTCTAAAGGTACGTCAAGGCTTGCAGCGTAGCGCACCGCACACCTGCGAACTTTTTGTGCATTACAAGACTTCCCTGTTTTTATTGTTACAGACTTAGTGCCAGCGCAGGGAGAAAATGGTGAGCGGCAGGTCAGATGAAATACTATCTTGAGTGTGTTAAGTAATGTTTCAGGTTCAAAAATCACCACTTTGTGAACATGTAATGATCTCTGATTGTTGATGTTGTATGTATTTATTACAGCAACATCTCCTTTATGTAGTTGAGTGGATTCTGGATGCACTGGAAATGTTTGGATGTTGTCCTTACCTAAAGTATTTTGAGAAGAGCAATTAGGCAATGTGTTCTTTGTTTCACAACTGAGATCTTAAAAGACAAAGGTTTTTGAAAATAAAGGAAGAAATACAGTTTTGGGTGCTAAAATGATAAACAGGAACACTTTTGGTGAGCTCAAAAAAACCAACACAAGATTTCAGAAGAAATAAGACCACAGTAGGTAATTAATGAAGAAGGTAGCTCAGTAGTGTGAAGTGATCCAAAGCTCTGTGTAAAAAGTGTCAGCTGGGCTAAGTAGAAGGCTGTATTTAAAATGTGGACTATTACGGCAACAAATGTATTCCTAAGCAAGCACCAGCTCTAAAATGGTTCTTAGAATTTTGAGACTGACCACACTGAACCAGTGACATTAGACCCCACAGGTCAACTTTCACATTTGTGTGAACAGAGGGAAATGTGAGATGAGGTTTTGGGATAACTATCTGGAATTGCATGTGCAGTTACCCCTGGGATACATAAAAATTTATGTCTGCAAAGGTAATGGTAACAAAATAATCTTGAAAATACTAACCGATGGAAGCAGCAGAGGATGTATGTTCTAGAGAGACTCAATGTGTTTAGTTTAACAGCAGGTGAAGAAATAATTTGATCTTCGCTTAGTATTTCTGTGGAGACCAGGAATGAGACTAGACGTCTCATCAGTTTAACAGGCAATTGCGTGTGAAGATCTAATGGTTAGAAGCTGCAACAAGGCCAGCTTTAACTGAGGGAAATGCTAAGCGTTATGTACACTGTTGGCTTTCTGGGATGGCTTGCCAGTGTGTTCAGAAGATGCCTCGGCATGGCAGACTTTGAATCAAGATGCTGTGCTGCTGCCAAACATTTCTATCCCAGCAGGAGCCAGTTCAGACAAGGAATTGGTGGTCAGGGAATAAATCTCTTGCGGACTCAGAAGTTTCACACAGTGACATTTTATTGTAAGGTTCCTGCT